AGAGGCTCTTTGCCAGACTGTACTTGTACATCATTTAAAATTTATGCTTCATTTCAAATACAAACAAGCAACTGAAATAATTATTGTACACCTAGAGATTTCTATTCCACTTACGAGTTTATTAATTGATCCTTCTCTTTAAATATTTTATGGGTGTTAAAATATGTGGGGCCAGTATCACAGCCTAGGAATGTTTAAACTGTGTGAATTCAACTCTGTGGCCTTGGAGAACCAAAAGAAAACAGTGTATTTTTGATTTAGTGTAACCCCAGAGCCAGCCCTTGATTTCATTTGGGGCCAGCTAAAGAAGCAGCGGTGTGAGCTGAGGAAGAGATGGGCAGTGAAGGGAGTAGAGGATTGTGTCGCATAAATCATGCCTCTTAACAGATTGTCAGGGCTGCCGACTTCAGCATCTGACCTCTGAGTGAGCTGGGACATCACGACATTATAAAGCTTTATATTATGTATCTTCATATTATTTCTAGCAGCTTCATTTTAAAACTTGGGTTCAGTTTCACTTTATTTAGTCCATTTTGGGGGAGCATCAAAAAATAATTTAAAATTTTTAAGTAATTTTTTCTGGACTTTAGAGATCCATTTTATTCCCCTAAAAACTAAGTCTTTTGGATAATTTGATTTGATGACTTGAATGGGCATTTCCAGAACCTTTTTAACAATAGTATCCCATCTAACTTTGAGTAACTCAGCTTCCACAAACCTGAACCACCACATTTGTACCGTTTGTAAAATAAGACATAAAGCTCACTGCCTTCTCCAACACTCCTTTATGATGTCACTCTGTTAATGTTAATGGTGCACCCACTGCATGCAAATGACTGTACAACACCAGAACAGCTGGTCATAGTTATTTTCTACAGCTCCAATGCCCAGGACCACAGGTAGCTATTTAAATGACCTAAAATGAATAGCATTAAGAATCCAGCTTAGAAAAAAAAAAAAAGAATCCAGCTTAGGGGCTGGGATTTAGCTTAGGGGCATAAGTACCTGCCTTGCAAGCAGGCGGTCGGGAGTTCAATCCCCGGTACCGATGATAAAAAAAAAAAAAAGAATCCAGCTTAGTAACTTAGAACTTAGTGAGGCCTTGCTAGGGCTAAGAATTGAGGGAAGAACAATGTAGTCCAATGCAAAGGCCCTAGGTTTTATATGTATATATGCATTTCCTGAGTTGCAATAGTCACATTTCAAATACTTTAATAACCACCCAAGATATATGGCTACTGGGCTGGAAAACAGCTATAAACATTTCCATTCTGGCACATAGTCCCATTAGACAGCTGCATTCTGGAGTATTTCAGTTTTTGAAACATTATTTCAGAGATTTGGGAGGGAATGAATGTAGAATGTGTTCAGCGTTACATTCTTGCTGGATATGAAGTTTAACATAGCATTAGTTCAAAATGATTTTAATACTAAGGTGGATACAAGGATTCATGAAATCACTGATTATAATGTTACCTAATTGTACTTTACTCAAACAGAAAATTCGCTATTTCCCCACCAAGTTTTGTGTTTACTACCATTCGCACCTGCCTGTCTCTTCCTGTGGAACCGCCGTGACTTCAGGGCTCTACTCAGGTTCCTTTTGATGTCTTGCCAGTCCGTGCTGTTCTCTGCCCTGCTCTGCAATCTTCGTTCTCCCAGCTTGAATGAAATCGTTTATGCAGAGCCTCGATCGCACACCCGGTCTGTCATGCTGTTTACCGTATCTCCTGGCTCCCACTCCATGCAGAGGTCTCTGTATATGAAGCCCCCCGCTCTCTGTGTGACGCAGTGGGGTTGTGCAAGTACTTGCCGGAGATGGCTGTTTGTTCATGCAGCACAGGCATGTGGGAGGCCTGCTGTGTGTGAGCCACTCTGTTACACTCTGCGTAACTCACAGTGCTGAGTTGTGAGTAAATAGATTAGCCAGTGTTTACGGAGGTGGGGGCAGCAAAGATGAGTGTGCAAACACTCATAATTTATGTTGCTCTTGTCTTTGATTTATAAAACCTATCCCTTGACACAGAGCAGCTTAAATGAATCTAAAGTTCGATTCTGATCACTGGACTGAGCCTAGCTTTTTTCTGTTTTTTTGTTTGTTTGTTTTATTTTGTTTTGTTTTTTTGAGATTATACTTATCCCCAAATTCAAGCAGAGAAACAACAGGACATTCCTTCCCTATGGGTACAAAGTAAATACATCACACACAAGAGAAGCACCTTATCAGGCCAGATTCTGGGTTTTACACTAAACCCCAAAGATAAGTGAGCTGAGATATTTTTATTTATTTGCTTGAACTTGTAAGTGAAAGAAAAACATTGTAGGGATCCCTGCTTGCTCCCGGGCTTCCTCCTCGAGGTAAAGCACTTTCTTTATTCAGCACTTGGCCACACAACCCAGGCTCAGGGTCCTGCTTGGAATTGCCTGCTTTTTAATAAATGTTTTGGGAAGGAGCTCAGCTACTCACAACAGGTACATATTTCCTTATGCCCAAGACAGTTGAAAGCTGCCTCTCTAAGAACTATTTGTACACCTGTGTTGAGAACAGCATTGTTCACGATAACCAAAAGCAGAAACAACCCAAATGTTTATTAATGACAAGAAAATAAGGAGAACATGCCATGTGCACCCTGCAGAGTACTGCTCAGCCCTAGGGAATGCGGTTGTGAAACAGCCTGTAACATGATGACTCTGAAGGACTGTGTGCTGAGTGAAATGAGCCAGGCGCAAAGGACATGTATGATTCCCTTGTAAGAAGTCTGCAGAGGGGGCTGGGGAATTAGCTCAGCAGTGTAAGTGCCTGCCTTGCAAGCAGGCAGTCGTAAGTTCGATCCCCGGTACTGATAAAAAGGAAAAAAAAAAAGAAGAAGTCTGCAGAGTGGTCAGATCCATAGAGACAGAAGAATGGTGACTGCCAGGGGCTGGGCATGACTGCTGTTTAAGGGTTGAGTACAGTTTCAGTTTTGCTAGATAAAAGCATCCTGGGAATTGGTTGCATGATCTTACAAATGTACTCAGCACTTCTGAAATGGTTAAGTGATAAATTATGGGGGGGGGGTGATCAAAAAATACGGTAATTGTTTACTTTTAAAAGTTAAAACAGTAAAAGACACATAGCCATTACTCCACTTCAAAACCATGCTCCTTATTTCAGACATATGTATCCCATCATCCTTTCTGCTTTCCTGAGGCAGCTCTGAAGTCCTCTTTCCTGAGTGTCTTTACTTACACTGTCATGGCTTCCTCAGTGTCCTGAATCAATTTAAAATGCTTACCTTTTGTGGTCTTTTTGACTTTGGGGAAGAGTAGAAGTTCCACAGTGCAGATCCAATGACAGGTGGGTGAGAACACACAGTAGTGTTTCACAAGCCTGCCTGTCTGCTGGATGGCACTCAGCAGCAGCATTCATTATATTTTTGATTACAGATTGGAAGGAGGCAAAAAAGGACTTTTAGGACTGCTTCAATAAGGAAAGCACAAGGAAGAGTGTTTTGAGGGGAACTAATAGTATTGTGTCTTTTCTGTATTGAAACTTTTAAGTTTCCACCATTTATTTTTGGTCACATCTTATATATGTTACATGTATTTTACTGCAATTATTTTTTAACAATTAAATTTTTAAATAGAACTATATTTCTTAAAATATTTTCATGTTTAGAGCCAAATGTGACCACAGGCCTGTAATCCCAGCACTTGGGAGACTGAGGCAGGAGGCTCACCATAAGTTTAAAGCCAGCTTGGACTGGTCAATCTGAACTACACAGTGAGACTCTGTCTGAAAACGAAAAGAAATATATATATATGTATGTATTTTTTTTTTCATGTTTAACTAGTTACAATCATTATGGAAATAAGTATTGAAAGTCCTCTAAAAGCTAAACATAGAAATTCCATGTGACCCAGCCATTCCTCTTCTAGGTTTCTTCCCAAAAGACTTGAAGACACCCATATCACAGTGATCCATACGTACCCATGTTTATAACAGCACAACTCCTCATAGCCACATTTTGGAAGTGGCTTATGTGACCCTCAGGAGATGAAGGGAAAAGAAAACATATTCACATACAGAAAGTACTGTTCTGTTGTACAGAAGGATAAATTCCAGTCATTTGTAGAAATGTGGATGCACTTTTGAGACCCTAGTGTTAAGTGAAATAAATCAGACATACAAATTTAAATACCTCATGATTTCTCTTATATGAGAAACCCAAACTATAAAGAGCAAAATGAATGATAAACAACAGAAAATAAGGAAACAGAAGATGTTTTACACATAAGAAAGGCATCAAGAGATGGGGAGGGGTGAGACAAGAATTAAGATGTGTCATGTCCGTGTAACCAGCTCCCCACAAGAAATGTGATTGTTATATACTGCAGACATGTACTACTGAAAAATAAAAATTGAAAGAAAAGGTGATTATGAGAAAACGGTTGCTTGTTTAAAACTAAGAATAAGTTAGATTCTCATTCTTCATAACTCCATTTGTGATCCATTTGCTGTTTGTTCCCACATGAATTTTTCATGAATTATTATCTTAATATGCACTAAGGAGTCTGCTCTTCATTTACTGTGTTAGGAATAGTGAGTGACATCTGTTCTCCCGGTCGCAGTCTTGCTGACCACTGGAGCAGCACTGTATTGCCTGGTGCTTTTCCACGCCACTTCCCCACGTGCAGCCAGCTGATGTTCAGTGTCCCCTCTCCTACCCTAGAGCATGAGAAGAAGAAACATAGTCAGTTCATAGACTGTTTAGCCAGGCTCGGGCAGGGCCTGGCTCTCGAAGCTCTCCCGTCCAACTACCCCTTGGTGTAGCATCCATGGGAACTGGAATGGACACAGTAAGGGAGAAGGTCACCCCAGAGCCTGGCTCTTCCCTGCTCAGGGAACACCAGGGACTCAGGAGGGAATTTAAATCCAATATCTAAACTCCCACAAAGTGTTGCCATGGTCTTTAATAAAAGTCAAGTTAACAGGTTTGTTGTCTTTTGTGTTTCTCCAGCTTCCAATCGTGGAAAAGATAAGAACCATTGCCCAGGCTGTCTACGGAGCCAAGGATATTGAACTCTCTCCTGAGGCACAATCCAAAATAGATCGTTATACTCAACAGGTAAAAGTGCTCCTTTTAGGAAAACGGTTCACCTCAGCGCTCAAAATACCTTGGCCTGAGGACTGGTGGCGTGTCTTACTAGCTGAATGTTACTTAATCTTCCTCAGGATCAACAAGAGTGAAGAATTAGCTCAAGCAGCGTACAGACTGTGTTTGGGTGTAGCCTCTGACCTATGCATCACTGACATCTGAGATTACCAGTGTATCCAGTATGGAGGTGCTCGTATGTGATGTGTGGTCTGTAGTTACGCCCACTCTGCCAGAAACTTTGAAATGGCCTTTGGTGTGCAGCTGTAGACTAGGTGGGCCAGGGATATGGCTCAGCGTCACAGTGCCTGCCTGGAAGAGGAAGGTTGTGAGTTTGATTCCCTCCTGAGTCCCTGTGTTCCCTGAGCAGGGAAGAGCCAGTTTAAAAAAAAGAATCTGAGATAGATGATCTGTTCTTATTTTTCTGTGGTATTGAGGGTTGAGCCCAGGGCCTTCACCGTGAGTTTCATCTCTAACCCTTTTTTTACTTATTTATTTTTTTATTTTGAGACAGGATCTCGCTAAAGGGCTCAACTGCCTAGGCTGGGCTCAAACTTCCAAACTGCCTGCCTCAGCCTCCCAGGTAGGGGGATTCCAGGCAGACACCTCCATGCCTAGCTCATATACAAATGGTTTGCAGTGCTTCCTCCTCCTCGTTGTGGGTCTTGTGCTGCCTCAGAAGTGTGAGTACACAGATTAGGCAAATAGGGATGCAGAGTACAAAGCAGGGCATTTGCTGTCTCTTCTGCAAGTGGCTCATTGGCTTCTTGGAGGTCGAGGCTCCGCGTCTTCCACTGCTGGGCATGACAAAGCCAAGTGGAGAAGGCGCCATAAAGGTGACCTTGATGCAGCCTCAGGAGCCACCACCTAGCCCTGTCCCAGCTGTCACCAGTCTACTCCTTGCAGAGGGTGCAGCCACCCTGACCAAAAGGCTCAAGTGGCCCACAGAGCTGGGCATGGGGAGACAGACGTTAAAGCTTCCTTAATCCTATTTGTAAATCTTACTTGACATTTTGTTACTATCAGTGCCGACTCAGGAATTTTCCCTGGTTTGGTCTGAGTGTCAGCAGCTCATACTTCTTGAAAGTTTCCATATATGTTCGTGGCTTATCCTCTAAAAAAAAAAGTGTTTCTAAATACTGCTGTGCACACTGGCATGGTTCTGTGCTGAGATTTTCATGTGTGTGTGTGATGAACATAGTAAAATAAGGTGACTGTCATGAAGTTTGGGGTGTCCTCCCCCTTCATGAGTTTTTAGTAATGCTATATAGCACTGTCACAAACTCCAGTATTAAATCTTTGTAGTTTTTGTTTTGTTTTTTAATCTTAAAATGCTCTTTCTGAGATAATATGGCAGTGGTATATGGCACTTAAAATATTTCTACTTGCAAATTTTCAAATGGTAAATCTTTATCAGTTCATAGAAATCATTTCAACATTTGACCTATCTCCAAAATCATGAGCACCATTTATGAAGAACATTTGTGATTATTCCCTGAGCAAAATTCTTGTCAGTACATAAGAGCAGGGCTTTCAAAAAGAACTTGATAATGCAATTGGTAATACTCTAAAATGTTCCAAATAGTTCTGGGTTGAATCATAAGAACTCTCACATGGGTTACCTCTAAAGATTGCATTCCTTTTATGTGTGTCTACCAAGAGAATATTTCCTAAAACTTATGTGTCGAGTATGTGATTGCAGTTAATTAGCAAAGTCTCCAAAGGAACACTATGTGCCTTTTAATCACAAGCAGCCTTCGGAGACACTATCGTTTTTGTGAGGCACTGCATGTGACTTCCTGCCCTTTCACCTTTAGAATTCTTGGGTCAAGCATAGACTTTAGTCCTTAAAAATAAGAGGCTTAGAAAGTGACCTCATCTTAGTTACTATAATGTAATTACAGATCAAATAGCCATGATTCATAAGCCAGCACAAAAGGCTCTTTGCTTCCTGCAAGACTCCAAGAATGAGTGACCGTCCTGACTAAGAGCTTCATTACGGAGCCTTCCTCCAGATTACCTTTCTAGTCTCAGATATTAATAGCCCTAGAAAGTGGTTTCTACAGCTGTTCCCCCTGCTGTGCCTAAAAATAGCCCTGCATGCCCCACACAGAGCATAAAGCCACCTCCTCTTAAATGAGAACCTCCAAAATAAACAATAGACCCCACAACCTCCCCAGTAATGACTGTGTCCACTGGAGTTCTTACCCCAAGTTTCTTGCTCCGTGAACCAGGATAAACAGCATCTCCTAGCTGACATGTGATTACTACAGAGATTGTATGTTTGGGGTTTGGGTTTTTTGTTTTGTTTTGTCCTTTTGAGACAAGGTCTCGCTATGCAGTTCAGGCTGGCCTTGAGCTCACTTTGTAGCTCTGGCTGATCTCGAACTCAACACTACCCTCCTGCCTCTGCCTCCAGAGTGCTAGAATTACAGGCATACGCCTCCACACCCAGCTATACTGCGGAGATTATATGAAACACAAAAGAAGCAAGTGCAGGAGAGCAGTGCTTATGTCTTTGAACACATTTCCTTTCATTCTTACAGGGCTTTGGAAATTTGCCCATCTGCATGGCCAAGACCCACCTCTCTCTGTCTCACCAACCCGAAAGGAAAGGTGTGCCGAAGGACTTCATTCTACCCATCAGCGATGTCCGGGCCAGCATAGGTGCTGGGTTCATTTACCCTTTGGTTGGAACGGTGAGTAAGAGGCTCTGCAGCCTTCATGCTATGATATCATGTTGCCTGGAGTCCTTACATTTTGCCAGTCCTTTGCAAATCAGGCACCAAAGAATCATGAATGGTGTTTGCTATGTTTCTAACTGCTCTTCCACCAAAAGCAAAACAAAAATCCAGTTCACCTCAGCAGTTCTAGGTTTATCTTGTTTTCCAGAAGATGTGTTCAGAATTTGTTGAGTCAAAAAACTGATTCCCCTCCTAGGATGGAGAAGAGAACAGCATGGAAGGATTGGGTCGATTGTTTGTCTCGGTGGAGTGCTTCTCAATCTTTTTCACACTAAGGCCTTCAAAATCATTGTACTGTGCTGTGGTGAGAACAGTGGAGGTGGCTGCTCATGCTGGGGGATCAACAGCACACCCCTGTTTACCTCCTTCCTCAGCATATCAGGTGGGAAGCTCTGGGCAAAAATGCTAATGAACCCCAGGACTTCCCATGATCGACACAGTGACAGCAGGACTGTGTTGCTTTGGGTAATCATTGTTGTTTCAGCTATGGAAAGTATACCTTAAAGAGCAAAATAAAGGCACGTTGTGGGAAATAGGGAGACCTTTTGGCTTCTTTATCACGGGAGTGCTTCTGGATTAGGTTTGGAGCCAAAAAATTCTATCTTGTCATCATTATCATTGTTGCTACTAACTGATCTGAGCCCAAACAGAAAACATGCTACATGTTTTTATAATGAACCATGTGGCTCTATTAGGGAAGTAAGTAATGGCTAGCCACCTTTGATATCTTCCATTGCATCTAATACTGTGCAAAAGGTTTTCATCATGCGAGTTTTGTGTTCTTCCTGAACATGAGGGGTGGAGATTCTGAGAGCAGCAGGTGCAAGCAGCAAAGCTTTGACTGGCACAGACGTATCAAGTGACTCTGCTACCTTCTGGACCCTCAGCCAGGAAGCAGTAGGCAGTTCTGCCCAGAGAATGGGCTTGGAGAGGGGACTCAGAATGTTTCTAATGTACACCACCTCAGAACTAGAGAAGCAATGATTTCAGCTCAAAGGCTTAAAGTACACGGTAACCTTGTCCCGCTGCTCCAGTGAGGCTGAGGTGTGGGAGGGGACCCAGTTGTTAAGGGTCCCCGAGTGCTATCATCCAGTGCCCACAAGGGAGCCACTAGAGGGTGAGGTTTCCTTACCAAAAAGAATGTGGTCTGATTTGTATTTTAGGAAAATAGGTCTCACAGCAGAGTGGAGACGGTTTAAAGGCAAAAGAACCAGACCAAGCAGATGGCTGGGACCAGAGGTGATTAAGGTCCAGACATGGAGAGTGTAGGCAATCTGAGACATGTTTTTAGAGGTAGCTTGCTTTAAAGAAAGATCAGGAGAACCACTCCACTTTGGTGACTATATGTACGGTATTGTCAGTTATGTGAAAAGCACAGGAGGCAGATTGCAGGAATAAGAATGCACTGGTTGGGCAGAGTTTGAAGGGTTCACAGGATAGGTAAAAATATGTTTTGCCTCCTTTAGAAATGTAGACATAGTTTAGGAGAAAGACACAGGGAAGTGACCTTGTAGGTTGTTCGTTTACAGTCCTGGGGGACCCGAGATGTGAAATCTAAGGTCTCACAGGTGCTAGGCAAGTACTCTCACTGGAATACACCCCCAGCCCAGCCTTGCGTGTTTTAAGGATATAGGGAAAGACTTGTTAGGTGAAGGAAGAAACAAGCTAGCACAGGAGGGGTGAGCAGAGGATGAAGGAAGGTGTCCCAAGAAACACTAGTTATGCCTCCAAAAGAGTAACAGCCTCCTGTGGAGTCAGCAGGAACTGCTGAGGTGTGGCAGCTTGCAGGGTCCAGGGGCACACAGAAGCTGGGCACCTGAGGTTCTGGGTGAGAGGAATGCTAGAAGCTCACAGCATGGCTATAGGAGAAGGCCTACGACAAACAGACCCTGAATAACGTTCAGGGGTGCAGTTCAGATTGGTGGTACCAGGACCTGGGCATCAGGACAGGGAAGGAATTGATGACAGGCTTTTAGGGGTGATGGGGATCCTCTGTTACATTTTGATTATGATAGTAGTTTCATGGCTGTGTATATTCACCCAAGCTCATAGACATTTTATTGTGCGTAATTTGAGTAGACCCTAATTAAGAAAAATTGGCCCAGCACAGTGATATATACCCGCAGTTCCATATGTTTGGGAGCCTGAGGCAGGAGGATCCCTTGAGTCCAGGAGTTCAAGGCCAGCCTGGGCAACATAGCGAGGCTCCATTTCAAAGCAAGAAAGGACTCAGATATACTTGTTTGGCCTGCATCCTGGTCTGGCCTGTGTCTCTCTGGGCAGATTCAACCTCTTGGAATAGTTCACCCGCAAATTCATTCATGCAGCCAATGTGCATACAGCACTGGGCTCATAAACATTTCCCTGCTGTTGGCAGCTCAGAGCTTATCTTAGATGGGTAATTGTGAAACCACAAGGAAATGGTCCAAGCCTCTTATAGCCATTAAATAAAAATCATAATATAATTTAAAATCTCACCAAACAAATGTATCAAACCAAGCACCTTGCATTCCAGTTACTACCAACACGCCCACTGCCGGATAATGACCAAAACCATTCTGTAAAAGCAAAATTCCGTGTCTAAGCCCCAGACGGCTACCGGTTCCAACTCATCCTCTGACCTATGACTGACTAGCTAGAAGTGAATGTGTGAAGTGGCCCTGGAGGTGTGGCCATCAACCAGGTTCCTGGCTTGGGCCTCCTGCGTCATTATCTCACCTCTCAACACGCAGGAGGTCCTCCTGTGGCCTCACAATCAGGACTCTGTGAGCGTCAGAGCACTAGGGAGAAACCTTCCAGGAACAATGGGCTGCGAGCAGAGGAAGGAAGTAGGGGCTGACCAGAGAAGTTCCTGGAGGTCAGGAAACCTTCACTTGGAGGCAGTAGCCTAGCAGGCTGCTTTCTATGACAAAATCGGAAGCCACTTGGGGAGCGGGCACATGCACCCCAGAGGCCAGGATCTCCTAATAAGGGTTGGTATACTTTGCCTTGATTCTGTTCTCAGCCCTGCCACAGGCTGCTGAAATGCTTCCACCATGCATCACCCATGTGAAAGACAGGATAGCTATTTCCTGCTGAGATGAGTGAGGGGAAGGGGAATGGGGACGCTGGAGGGTCTGGCTCCTGCAGGTGGGAAAATTCAAGCCCAATGAATCAGTGTTGTGCTTAGTCACTCTCCGTGTGCCCCTGAGGTCATAGTTATCTGCCCACTCCAAAGGAAAGCCCCAGTGAGCGCTCCCAGATAGGCTCTCAGTTCTGTAGTGTCTGCTCATCCATTCATTCACCAAACCAAAGGCCATAAACCTCATGGTGACAAACAAGATCTCATTCTTCTCTCACAGCCCTTGTGACAGATTCTGATCATTAAAACCAGATAAGTACAGAGTGCTATGGGCTTTCTAACAGAAGGAGAAAGCCCCTCTTGGCAGGTCTATCCTGGAAGGAGACAGAGAGCTCTTTTCTCCTTGACTCCCACATAGTCCCAGCACCGGCAAGGCGCTCCTGGAGTGACACACAGCTCAGCGAGGCTGACTTTGGGAGAGCCCATGGAGTGATGTTGCAAGGTTCAGCTTTTTACCCCCTCCAGATGTAGCTTTCAAAATACTTTTATTGGCCATCTTCACTACTAGGTCACATCTTTTTCTAGCACTGAACAATTGCATTGTGTTTTGTTTGCTTTTTGCTTACATTGGCATCAGTCAACTTAACACAAGCTAATCATAATAATTAATCCATTAGCTAACATGACATCTGCTAGTTCAGTGCCTCCCCCGAGCTTTTCCACAGAAGCCCCTGATACCTGTTTTTTAATATGCTGTATAGTGTTTTCTTGTTGCTAAGTTTTCCTTCTTAAAATAATTTTTCTCATTCCTACTAAGTTTCCTGTGTAATCCTGCCTCTTGGATGACATTATCCTTACATATGCTCTCTAGCATCTTACTAATAATTACAAAATACTACAAAATTCTTGACTAGCACTGTGCCCCTTAGTACATCTCTTTGTAAAAAACTTGATCAAAGACAGATCTTTGTGATGGGAAGAAAAGAACAAGTTTTTCATTTTGTGTTTTAGATCTTATCTTCTATAAATTATGGCATATTACTAAAATTTTTTCAAACCTGATGGCTTGTAGTATTCAGTAAAACTAATAGTTAATAAAATTCCAAAAAAAGACTCACATGAAGAAAAAAAATTAGTAGGTAGTCTTTGTCTTTGTGATGACATTGTTTTAGTATTGTCTTTAGGTTGCTATAATTCACAAATTCTGTTGACTCATTTGGCATACACTTCAGGACATAAAAACACTGATCTATAAGTAAAGTGCATGGGATGATATCACTGGAAAGTAAATTATGTGCCACATAAAAAAAGACAAGCTCTGAAGCCTTAACAAAGGGCAGTGGTTTGATGAAGACTCCTTCATTTTGCATTTCAGCATGTGTCACTTTTGTAACATGAAAACACAGTGTTTGGGGCTCTGATACCCTGCAGCACAGGGAGTCCAGCTAGGTACCATCACCCTCCCTGCCCGGGCTGCCCTGTGGTATTTCAGCACCCAGACAGCTGGGGCAAAGAAAGACAAAAACCTCTGGGGTGTTTCTGTGAGAGATGCACTCCAGGGTGTGGTGTGTCTGGCGCTGCTGAGTATTTGCTCACACCAGGTGCTGCAAAAGAAAGGCAAGATTTTTTCTTCTGTATTCCTTAGTCCTGAGTCCCTTCTTGCTTTCTGTTTTGGAATAGAGAGAGGATGAGAGATCCTTTCCTTCTCAGGAGATTTCTTTTACAGTGTTATATTTTTAAAACAGTTGACAAGGAGAGGTGTCCAACCATTCTTAGCAGATGACCATTCAAAGTTAGTTTTTGGTGCAGCTGTTTCCCTTTGACATCATACTGCAGCCATGAGGGATTGGAAGAATTTAGGACATAACTCTTTCTTTTGGCCAACATGGGATAC